AGTACAAAAGAAATTACAATGGTTGTATAATATTTTAGAGTGTAAGGGTCAGCAAAATACTTAAAATTCAAAATACATTAAGGTTCATTTTCTTATGGCAGAACGTTATTTTTACAATAATGATAATAATCGATAAATTCTACTATCAAACAAGTCAAAGCGTCGTCCTGACTTATTTAAATATGTCACGCCGTTCTGATCAACTACAAACCAGACCATGAAAGCGTAGCGTAGTTGTAATGGCTTCGAAGGTCTATAACAAACTCCCGATTGAAATAAGAAATTGCAATAATGCTACACAGTTTAAGACAACGTTGTTTAATTACCTCAATGAAGTTACATTCTAAAATTTTAGAGATTTCATTTAAAATTGACATTTTTATGTTTATGTTCTTTTTAGTTTATGACATTTGTTTATTTTAGTATTGTGACGGACGTTATTTTATTAGACGTCATGAAAACAGTATACAAATTATTAACTTTGTATGCCGCTTTTGTAGCACCTTTTGTAAGCTGTGTATCACAAATAAACAAATGAATTTAAAGGTCTTTTTCACATAAAATATTTTCACCAATATTTTCGATTGTTTTACATTTCTCTGCTTCAGAAATAGTTTTTTGTTATTGTAGTAAAATAACCCGGTGACGGCAATGTCTTCTTTTTATGTTGACCTAGATGTCACTGTTAGCGGCTGGGTAATAGGACTACATTTTTCAGAGAGCGGTGGTAGCGTAGTGGAAGACCAATAGCTTTTCGAATGAAATGTCGATAATTCTTGGGGTGATTCTTATGTCTCAGGATTCGAACTACCGTCTCCCAGTAAACCGTGTCAGACGCTGTGCCAACTTAGCTACGGAACACACTAACGGACCTTACGAATTTTAAATGCTTGTGGCAGATCTTTTATTTTGGTTTTTTGCTGTAGCGCCATCTGTGAAAAATCTATGAAAGTTTTTCTTCGCTCAGCGAGGCACCTTTATCGCTACCAGCCGCTGACTTATAAAAACTAAGGTAGTGGAGTAATTTCATAAAAACTAAATTAACGTCATGCAATTAAGACTTAATCTCAATATTAGTGTACAAAAAATAAGCACCTATTTCTAAACAAATGTTTCTTTTACCCATTAAAAATTCCCCTTTTGGGTTTATGAAATAATTGACGCCAAAAAATGATATATTATTTTAAAAAAGAGTAGAAAGGAAAATCTACATACTGGGGTAGCTGCACCAAACTCTTCGACAACATGCTGCAGTCTCTATTCGAATCCTATGCATGACCTTGGAAAATCTCTATAGATGGTCAATTTTAAGTGATACCTATCCACTTAGAGCTTATGATCGCAAAGGATCTGAGAGGCACTGGACACTGCTCACTATACCCGTCACCCTGAGATGTAAGTTGACAAGTCACATGTGCCTGTAATGTCACCTTTCAAAAACGGAACTCAATAATGGTCACATTACTGCTTGACGGCAGAAATAGATAAGGTGTTAGTACTTCCCGAACGCCTTCAATAGCTTTACAATTGTAATCATTTTCATTGTAAACATCGCTGCAAAATATTTACATCAAATTTGACCTAAGAAGACGAACAGAAGGTAGTTATAGCAAACAAAAGGGCTTAGTTTATTTTTGTTTCCAAACAAATAGCGTTGTTCGGTCATCTTAATGGAATCATTATAATGGAAGGGTTAAAACGCGGGCTGTAATCTTTCTTTTAAGCATATTTTCTCGTCGTTTAAATACAATATAGTAGGGACACGGGACTTTGCTCAAGTTATATTTACCCTTATTTTCATTTTTGATTTCGTACCTGATTGACATCCCAATTACAAGAATCAAGTATAGAGCATCTTCCATAGCCCAATCAGGAATGTTGTGCCTATTGTGTAATCATTACAGCTGTGCCAATGCTGTAAGCGTTACAACCTTCATCCGCTATACTCCAGACATGGCTTTTGCTTTCTCCGGCAGTTTTTTATACATGCCCGGATGATTGAGATATGTCAGTCGAGGTCAACCATTTCCTACGTTTCTATACTTGCTCTATCAATATCACAGTAGCTAATAAAATAGAGCTCCTTGTAAAAGAATTCGTCCACGGAAGTACTAATGCGTTCCGTATGGAAGGATAAGGGTGCTGGTAAAATTACAAGCACATAGGAGTTGTCAACTTATGTCTCAGGATGACAGGCGCAGTGGCAATGCCTTCTTTTTATAGTATCAAGTGACGTGCGCCTGATGGTAAAATCTTTGCAATTTAAAGCTACAAATAGCACTGCAACTGTTATGGAAAGGCGTGTCGTTTATTATCAGACGCATGACTTGTTGGACCCATCACTAGATATCATAAAAAAATTTGTTACTAAACTAAATTTTCTAGCGGGCAATTCGATGACAAAGCGATTCTTCAAAATTGTATTCTAAAGAACTATGCTTAAAGTTGGTAATTAAATATTTCTCTCGTGGCGTTACGAAACAAGAAAGTAGAACCTTATGTATGTAACCGTACGGTCCGGACGCTGTTATTTTCGCATATTTTGCATTTATTTTGTCCCTTTATCTATTTCCCCTCTGATGTAATGTAGAGATGCTTATTCGTATGCGTTATTTTGTAACGTATAATTATGTTATGAAGGATATTTATTTTTTCATGCAAAGCTGGCTGTTCTTTGACAGCGATATTCATAAAGTCTTTTAAGTAGTGTAACTGAGGCGTAGCTTAGGATGCGTAGCGAGAGGTACTTTTATAAATTTAAACTGGAATAATCTTTAAAACTTGGTTTATTGTATTCTTTTACATATTTTCAGCGTTGGGTTACATTACGAACTCTCAAGATACTCTATTCTTTTCTTATTTCATTTTTCAAAACACATTCTAATTACAAAACTATTCACTCAGCCAGTGATTCTACTCATAGAGTAGAGCTTAGACTACATCCCTCTTCCTCACAGCTGAAGGGGTGAACATCCCTGGCTGGTGCTCTACCCATGATAGACAACTTACATAAGTGATCAGCCTTTACTATAGGCTAGCCACACACTGCTCGGAAGCCACTACCTTACCAACAAGTAAACCACCGAGGAGGTGTAGTGTGGTAGGTTTAGTGTGCCAAAAACCTATCTAAAAGGACAGACCATGACCACATCCTAATCAAACAAATCAAAATATAATTACTCGTCAGCTATCCTAGCTAATTAGGGAACCTGACTAAATCCTAACACTTTATTTCAGCGACTCTAGCCTGGCTGAATGATCCTAACAAATTTCTAAACATTACTACTCAAAACTTCCTAACTGTTTCCCTATACTATCTTCAACGTGCATGCTGCCACAACGACGACACAGGCTTGAGCATCCATCGGATGATCACTGGGTAACACAATATTGATCTCCCAGCTGCCTGCCTTCCTAGAGCCTAGACTACAGTAGCAATGTATACACTTCCATAATATGATTTCTGACATGCTGATTTGTAGCTGTATAGATCTTCGCATATGAAAGAGCTTGTCCATGGAAGTACTGATAGGTGTGAACCTATTTATGCCGCCAAACATGATTGTAAGCATTACTGCGTAAAAAAAATCATTTTGAATTTTCACCAATAATAATAAAAATATAGGTAGACACTTTTGCATAACCACATTTACAAAAAAAGGAAACATAATTCGGTCCTGAGTGCCGCTGAGTGAGACCTCCTGCGTTTTGCTGATAATTTATTATTGACCTTATTACAACTAAGATTCGAGTTGTAGTTTTGGAGAAACTTATATCAGTAGTGTCATTCCATTCCTTTGTTATACGTATTACGCAAACTGGTGGAAGAGAAGACAGAGGACATTACATTTATCAATGTATATTTTGTGCTATTACAATTGGAATAAGGTATATATTTCAAGGCTCTAGTCCGAAATCACTGGCACAAACTGTCAAGACAGTGGAAAGAGCTAGAACGACAGTCGTCAGACGATAAATAAACGCCACGATAACAATCGCAGCTATTGTAGTTATCACGTTTTATGTACTGTTTGTCTCAGAATCTGCAAACGACAAGATGGCTGCCGTAAAACGATAAATGACGTCACGATCCAGTGGGAACATTAAGGCATGACTGTCGTTCAACGATAAAAAATTTCACGACACAGTCACGAAAGATAGTCATGATATGGGAACAGGCTAGACACAACTGTCGTCCAACGATAAATAAAACGTTAATAAAAAAAAGCACCCTTAAAAAGGACAAAGCGAAGCATTTCATGCGAATAGGTGGTCTATCAAAGACTATAAGGATGGAGTATTTCAAACTTCCTAATCGACCGAAAGAGGAATGGAATGACGGTGGGACTAAATTTAATAAACAAACAAACTTTTTCACTTTACAACGTATATTCTAGGCTCGTTTAAAATAAAAATGACATCTCCCAAGCAGACGGCCATTAAACAAGGTCGTTAGGTGGATAATGCGGCAACCTGATCGTCACACTGCGAAGCTGTACGCGAATTTGCGTTATCTGCTGACTTCAAAAACCTTTGTTGATAGTACTTTCGGAGTTGTTATTTGTTTTGAAGAGATTAGGTCATACTGAGACCGTTGGATGGTAATTTTTAACCGACTTCAAACAAGGAGGAGTTCTTAATTTGCCCGTGTATTCTTGTTGTTGTAAAGGGGGTAACTCAGTGGTAGATGCAAATGTGCTGACGTAACGGCTCAGATTACTTAATAGATACATCACTCTAATATACAATCCAATATACCCACGCTATAGCGTGACACCAGGTGCTCACTACGAGGAAAAAGGAACCTAAGCTACGCGCTCATAGAGGTGAAAACAAGGTTGCTCACCGTGTGCAGTCATGTAGAACCAAATGCATACGGGACTGAGTGACTAAGACTTTGAAAGTACAAATATTTATTTAGTAAGCCGATGGGAGAACGTTGCCTCTCCATTGGAAGCCGACGGTTCGATATCTGGTTGGACAA